GGTCAAGCTATCGTGTTTTCCAATCCTATATCTTTTTGGCTGATATATTTCTTTATCTCCATAATATATTAAAAATACCCAATGTGTGTTTTTTTCGGTTGCTTCTGACAAATTTGAATAAAAATAAAAAGAGACCAACAAATAGTGAATTTTGAACTCTAGCATTGGCTAAGCCAGTGGTGAACTGTAGTTTCTGCTTCTGCTAGCTGCTCTGTTCCTTACCTTGCCCTCCCAATCATCACTACCCCATATTTCTAGTCAAATCAAATGTATTATTATAATTCCTTAGCCACATGCCATAGCACATATAAGATAAATACACCCCAACTATCTGTGTCATTCATTTGTTGCATCTTGTTCCACATGAAGTTCTGAGGCACACACTGTCTTCTTTGTAATTGGTATGCACAGTACCTAGCACAATGGGCCCCTGATCGTAGGCGCGGTTTCCTAGGCACTACCTTAATATAAATAAATAGTAGCTTTGAAGCCTGACACGTTTGGAATTCATAATTTCTGTCTTTGAGATTACCACATGCTTAATAATATAACTTTCACCCCATCATTGGGAACTACAGCTTAATGAACCAGACTCTATGGTGCCTGAGCTGCAGTCTCTAGTGTACAATTGTGATGGAGTGTCCCTTTGAGGCCCCCTGCTGAAGGCCTCACAGTCTGACCACACCACATCCCAGAAAAGGAGACGTGAAAGCGGGTCCTCTCAGCCTGCCTAGAAAGGCTGCAGGGAAGCAGCTCATCAGAGTGCAGCAGGCTCAGTTAAAAGGAGATGCTGTTCTGAGCAGATCAGTGGCTTGCTGGGATCAGAAGGGTGATGACGATTTGGAAGGCTGTGAAACTCTCCAGGCGAGGAGGCCTCGGAGAGACCCTGCTCAAGCAGGGAACAGACAGAGAACTTCATCCCTGAGGTAAGGGGCTACATGGGAAGTGGCCCAGGGAATAGCAAGAGCAACTACAGTATTAAAGGAAGCAGCATAGGTTGCTATTTATAATGTCCCTGGGTTGGGACCCGGAGTAGTGGGCAGGCCTGGGTCCCCCTGCTGCCCACTGGCAGAGTTGCCAAAGCCCTGAGAAGGGGACAAGTTTCATTTAGAAGCCCAAGTTAAGGGCAGGACTTAAAGTGTCTCCAGGAAGGAACCCCTGGGGCAATGCTCTATAACAGGGCAGGGGTGGGCTTAAAACTAGCCCAGAAGGGGCTGAGAACTGAGCCCAGAGACAGGGCTGCAGACATTACCAAGGGCACAGCGACAGGCCCTGTTTGTTCATTCATGTGTTTGACTGTGTGACTTAGCCAGAGGGACGAGACACTGAAGACCCACTTGATGACGGCAACAGCTGACAGGGAGCCCCTTGAACAGAGAGAGTGCAGGTTTGCACCCAGATCATAAGAGGCGCTCACAAGAGGTGAGTGTGCACTGTTATACCAATGATTTCAGTATGACTCAAGAATCAAGTCCACTACCTGTAAAGAAATACTACTTTGTTTCTGGCACAGGCATAAGCACACATTTCACAACGGTCACTATTTAGGACCACATTCTGCTGCCCTCCCTTAAGTTGAATTAGTACACTTCCTCCACAAATAGTCTCACTGAAGTCAATGGGGTTACTCACAATGTCAGGTACTACTCATGAATAAGAAAAGAAGAATCATTCCCTTACAATAGTCTACGTAATTGCATAAAGAGACAAAACGATTTAGGTGAGACTTGGGAACAAGGGAAGTTTATGCCAGTGCTCCTTTCATGTTGTATAAAGGAAAGATGTATGAGACTTTTAAAACCCTAGTGGACTAAGGTTATGAGCCAAAGCAAGTGGAATTATCTCTATATGCTTTAAATTATTCTGCTTATAAATATCTTCAGGAGAACAGTACAATAAAAATTCAAATTAGGCATAATTTTTCTGTGTGAAGAGAAAGTCTGCACTTAACAGTAATTTATAGCAGATATCTTGTAAATCTCTCACAGCACTCTCCAACTTCAGGGTAGCATTATAAGCATATTTCTAAGCAGTTTGAAGTCTAACCCATGGGCAAGATTGCTTATCTGCAAAGCCACCTGCATGTTGTAATTTAAACTAATATGCTGAAAAAGAAAGAGTTGTATAAATGGGGAAATATTGTAAAAGGCTTTTCCCTAATGCTATTTACAAAAGCTGTTTTTAAACTCTCCACCTCACAACTCCCTGACTCTCCCCTACCCTACCGATCCTTCCTTTTCCATCTTCATAAGAGACCTGACCCTTTCCCAGACACCTACAACAACTTCCATCCCCAAAAGTGCCCCTCCACACATGACCAGTTTCCTGCTATTTGGCGCCTCAAAATCCGCTCTCCGCACATGGCTCTGACCCAACCCTCCTCCCAACCAGGAGCGCCGCCAGCTTTTTTGCCACCCTAGGCAGCGGAAGGTCCCGCCCCCGAAATGCCGCCTCCACAGAGGCAGCGGAAGGTCCCGCCCCCGAAATACCGACGACAACCAGGGCGGCCAAAGATCCAGCCGCCTCGGTCGCCACCCCCCAAATGTTAGTGCCCTAGGCGACCGCCTACGTCGCCTAATGGGTTGCGCCGGCCATGCTCCCAACTGCCAGTTCCAGACCCATTCATAGAATTGGGAACTGGTGACAGTGATGCAGGGATTGGGAAAGTTTTCTAGCATCATGGAAGTGGGCCAGGTGAAAGCAATATTACTATAATCAGTACAATAGAGGACTGGGGACAGCAGTACCTGTAGGCTAACATTTTAAGTGGGGCACTGCAATATACCTTAACTGCACATGTGTTCTCTGATTAACAACACCTATGAAAGTTCCGTAAGTCCTCTGTATGAGCTGTTAGACTTTGTGTCAACATTTTGCTGTTTTGGAACATGCACAATTTACACATACTTGGGGGGGACAGGGACAAAAGCCCCATCTACACTTAAAACATAGGTCCACCGAGCTACATTGTTCAGGGCTGTGAAAAATTTCACCCCTTGTGCGATGTAGTTAGGTCGACCTAACCACCACTGTAGATGCTACCACCTTCTCAGAGAGGTGGATTACCTACATTGATGGGAAAACCCCTACTGTTGACGTAGGAAGCATCTACACTACAGCAGCATACCTGCAGCACCATTGCTGCGCCGCTGTAGGGTAGACATACCCTCAGATTTTTCAGTAGTAGAATCACTATTGCCTAGCACAGGGGTTCTCAAACTTTTGCTTTCTGAGGGCCCCGCCCCCCCCACACACATGCTATAAAAACTCCGTGGCCCACCTGTGCCACAACAACTGTTTTTCTGCATATCCAGTAGATTAAAAGCCATGGCCAGCATTAGGGAGTAGCAAGCTGAGCAATTGCCTGGGGCCCCACACCACATGGGGCCCCGTGAAGCTAAGTTGCTCGGGCTTTGGCTTCAGCCCCAGGAGGCGGGGCTCGGCCTTCAGCTTTCTGCCATGGGCCCCTAATGCTGACATCAGCCCTGCTCTCTAGTTTATTTTGGCGAACCCCTTGAAACCTGGTCACGCTCTGCCCCCCCCCAGGAGAGCCACAGACCCCCTGGTTGAAAACCTCTGGCCTAGAAGGGTGCTGAGAGCTGCTTGAAGATGTCTCTCACACCTTCCTACATCTTTGAAGCACCACTCCACAGATATTTGACAGGTGCAATAATCAGGTATCGAGCCTGCTATATAGTACTATAAAAACATTAAGGAAAAAGAGTTTGTTTTTATCTCACGAGATCTAGGGTGAAATCCTGAGGTCAACCAGAATTTTACCACTGACTTAAATGAAACCAGGATTTCACCTCCAAAGTTTGTTTGTTTAAATGACACATCAAAAGTTACAGAGGACACACACAATCTGATCATAAAAAAATTGAATTATACCAAGCACAAAATTACAAAAAAAATTAAAACACCTATTTTCCTCTACTTCTGCAACGTAAGCATTGCCAAATGAGAAGGACAGGGGCTGTGTGGTATTAGAGAAATTATATATATCCTATATAAATTCATTTTTGACTCTAGACCTTGTAGGCCAAATTTCAATATGGGCCATATTTTTAGGGCTCAATACTAACCCCCCCAGAAACAGGTTTAACAATGGAAATATAGACAGATTCTTAATTACAGTATAGTGTTAGTAGCCACCATAATTATGGGTACATCTACACCACACAAAAAAAAAACACCAATAGCAGAGAGTCTCAGTGTTCGGGCTAACTGACTCAGGCTCATGCAATGGGGCTCAAAATAGCAGTATAGACATTCCCACTTGGGCTGGAGTTCAGGCTCTGAACTCACTGAGAGGGGAGTGTTTCAGAGCCCAGACTCCAGCCCGAGTGGAAACGTCAACACTGCTTTTTTGAGCCCTGTGAGCCTTAGTCAGATGACCCAGGCTTTGAGACTCGCTGCCATCAGTTTTGTTTTGTGTTTTTTGCAGTGTACATGTAGCCTAACAATGTTCTGTAGAAAATATAACAAGCTCAAAATTAGAGCAACTGTACTGCATACTGTTGTAATTTTAAAAAGGGGGAGGGAAGTTGCTTAGGGGGCGGGGAGTGCGCGTGCCATTTTGTTTTGTTTTTAAAGAAAGCAGAGTCTTTGTTAAGAATTTGGACCAAATTCAGCATGGGCATGATCAGGAGTAACTCGCACTGAAGTTGGTGGGAGCCATGCCTATTTATTCCATGGCTGCTTTTGGCCCTTTGTATTGAAAACACAATGCAACAATTTCAGGTAGGATGGCCAGACTCCAATGTTCCATGAAGTAATGGGTGTTAGGTTAACATTTACACCAGTATTTCACTTAGATTTCTAAATATTACAGAGCAGCTTATACAAAGTACATTTATGAGCCATGTTTTAAGTTATTTTGGGAAATAAGAATTGATCAAATGGATGCACGACAAATTAGAGCTAAAGCCACTCACTAAACTAGAGTATCTCCTGAAGCATGGATAGTCCATTTTGCCACCGCAGTTATTCCCACTTACCTTCACTGCATTGAAGCAGAAAGCATACAGTACAATCACAACTACAAAGCTTCGAGAAACACTGTAGAGGGCAGATATCAATCCAGCAGCAGCTGAAATACAGACATCAAAAGTTTGTTACTTTCTAGATGAAACAAGCTGCAACCAAAAGAAAAACAAAAAAGGATTCGCTCAACCAGAATTTAATTAATAGAAATCTTGTATCACAATGTTATTCTCTTCCTTTGTATAAAGAACACCTTCAATATTTTGATCAGTTAAACAAGTTCCTCAAGAGACTAGGGGTGAAATTCTGGCCTCACTAAATCAATGGGAGTTTTGCCATTGACGTTAGTGGGACCAGGATTTCACCCTAAAGGTCTATCATTTTTTATATTTTATATTTATATGCCCTGCCAAAATGTTGCCGCCTATCCTTTTTTCATTTTTGAAGAGGAGGAAAGGAAGGATGCTGCTTTAAAATGTGTTAACCCTTATATTGCTGAATTCCATTGCAGCATTCCTCTAAAACAAAAAACAAAATGGAAAAAAAAAAAAAAAAGAAAAAAAAAAGGTCAGCATATTTGATAGCACTCTCACCAGGTGAAATTCTGGCTCCATGGAAGTCGGAGCAAAACTTCCCTTGACTTTGATGGGGTCGGGGTTTTACCCAACATGTTTTGCCCTCAGATCTGCTACATTATTCAAGAGTCAAGAAGTTAAAGAAAAGCTACCCCAGATGCATATGGTAGTTTTAGCCATATGATTTTTTTTCTTATTTGAGCTGGGGGAAAGGGGGAACTACGAAATAGTCCCTTTCTCTTTTTGGGCTTATCCATACTGTGCTTGAAATGATGACAGAAATCACCATGCTTCTAACATGTTTTCCCTCATGTGGAAAAGGATTTAAGTTTTACCGAGGATCATGTTAGACATGCTAAAAACATTTCTGTGGGGGTGGTTCATAGTCCTAACACACAGTTTAAGTACTGCTGTTCTCAGAAAAAATCCTCGTCCATATGCAAGAAACCATGTGTAACTGGGTGACTGCAGGGCCAGTGCTACCATTAAGGCAAACTAAGCAGTTGCCTAGGGCGCCAAGATTTGGGGGCACCAAAAAGCGGTGCCCCCAATTTTTTTTTTTTTACAGCGTTCCTGGGCTGGGCTGCCGGCGGCGCGCTGACATGTGCGGCTCAGACTCCCTCTCCCAGCACAGCGGCCGCTCTACTTCTCCCGCCTCCCAGGCTTGCGGCGTCAATCAGCTGTTTGGCGCCGCAAGCCTGGGAGGGGAGGAGAATTAGAGCAGGGGTGGCATGCTCGGGGAGGAGGCGGAGCAGAGGTGAGCTGGGGTGGGGAGCTGCCACACGGCTCCACGGGGGGGGAGGGCACCTCAGGGCGGGGGGGGGAGCTGCTGCAGGGCTGGTGGGGGGGGCGCAAGGTGGAAATTTCGCCTAGGGCGCGAAACTTCCTTGCACCGGCCCTGCGTGACTGCCACTAGCACTGTTTCAATTGTAGTGTGAATGAGGCCTCAAAATGTGCAGTACAACCCAGCTTAATTTATGGCTGTGGGCATGAACAGATGAGCTCAGGCTACAATAAACTACTTACCAGAACCACCAAAAAGTAACATGTCTATTTGTTCCAAGAGATATATACAAAAGGTGTTGATTTGAGGGAAAAGGCCAAGAAGAGAAATTGCAGGGAAGCAATACAAAAACACTGAAATTAAAACAAGATGTATGTTAGCACATATTTGAATGTCACAACAACTGAACTTATTTGTATGAAAAACAGAGAGAAGTTGCCTCAAACTGGGATAAGCTACTTTTCCATTATATTTTAATGCTTTCTGCATAGATTTTGATGTTAGGAACAATGGTTACATTTTGCAGGCATTTCATTATTTAAATTTATTTATATTTAATGTTTCTCTAAAAGCAATAATAGGTAGCGCTAGCTATGAAGAATTCATACAAACCTATTTATCCTCCAAAGCATTTTATCAACATTATTTCTCACAACCGCCTGAGGTAAATATTATTTCCTATTTTACAGATATATAAACTAATACACAAAGAGTTAAAGTTCAGTTCTACTTTGAAAAATGACCAGGGGGAAAATGGCATAATGTAGTCTCCATTCAACATTTCTCAACCACTTTTAAGATCAATTCTGTTCAGTTTAAAAGTAAAAAATATTTTTTCCTTAACTTGAGGGCTCTGCAAACTCAACCTGGAATTACTGAGCTCTGGCTAATACATGCATCATCATCAATAAAGATTCTGTAACTGGAAGTTAGTTACCAGTTCTGCTGATGATGTGTGAGCCAGAATAGAATCCAGCTCACTCTCTCATAGCTGCCTTGACTCTGCAGAACGGCCAGAATTAAAAACCAGAAACTTATTTAAATAGTAAAAAAAAATATTCAAAGGCAAGCTGATCTATTGAGTAAGAAGGTGCCATTTATACATAGCCACTTTTCAGAGCGGTCCCTCACTTTAAGTGACTTTCCCATGGTCAAAGGAAGCAGGATTAGTACTCAGGGTCTGTGCTTCCTGTCTTGTGTTCTGATCACATCACTGCTGTCTCTGTGGGCTCAATCCTGCAAGGTACAGCGCATGCTGGACATGATCTAGCAAAGCATTTAAGCACATGCTTAACTTTAAGCAGATGAACAGTCTCACTAACTTCAACGGGACTATTCATATGGTTAAATTTAATCACATGCTTAAACACTGTGCTGGATCCTAGCTTGAATTCTCAGCACCTTGCGCGATCAAGCCCTGTGTAAGCAACACCACTGGGATGGGTGAAGATAATCAGTGATGAGGGACGCTGAAGCCAGACATATTCAGGTGGCATAGTAAATTTAGAGAAGCAAGAAATGAAGTATTCAGAGTGCTGCAGAACAAACAAAATGAGGGGAAAGAAACAAGATAGAAATAACAGTATGTTAAAAAAAAATGAGATAAGCAGATTCTGAAGAAGAGATTTTCTTGGTAAGACCTGGGGAAATAAAAGGAGAGCGTATGGCAAAAGAGCAGCGCATGAATTGCTGCCAACACGAGTCAAATTGAAACTGCATCATAAGGAACTAAGGAAAATATGATCTGTAGTCCATGTTAAAAAGGAGAGGGGCAACGCACGGCAGATTACAGTTTTAGTCAAAGAAAAACCAATCTGATAGTTATGTTAACAAGGCCATTGGGAGACTGTGAAAAATTGTGTTGCAAATTGCATGGATCGTTTGCCCCATTTCTTACAGAAAAACGTTCTGCTGTTCCTGGCAATTTTCCCTGTGAACAAGCATATATTTATTAGTTATACATGCTGGGCTGTCTGCATTTTTTTCTTATTTGCCCTGATAATACTTAAATCCAACAAACTGCTGACGTTTCTCTTATTTCCATACTGACTTTTAAAACAAAAACAAACATTACCAATGATATTTGTTTTCTTTGCTATATTCCAATTATCCCATTTTACTTACAGTCCTTCTTGCTAATATATCTTGCTGGGTTAAAATAATGCAGCAATACGCTCTGTTAGATCTGACTGCATATATTAATGCTTCTTCACCTATCATATTATTCTACAAGTATCTAGTTTCATAACTCCTGCTGAAGAATTCAAACACAGAAGAGATAGGACAAGCTCAGGGGTCAGACGCAAAAAAAGTATAAAAACAACGAGGAGTCTGGTGGCACCTTAAAGACTAACCATACAGACTAACATGGCTACCCCTCTGAGAAAAAGTATAAGTGCTTTAGGGTTGGTGTGACACAGCTCAATGAACTGAACACCTATGCTAGTATTTATAATGTGCCCATCACTGTGGTATCCTAGCACTAACAAAAATTGTGTATACATAAAAGCATGCAGAAATACCGTGTTCTCCATCTCTTGCTTGTAAATGCCATTGAGAGTGCTTACAACAGACGTGTGCAAACTACGGCCCGTGGGCCACATTCGGCCCGCGTGACCGTCCTGCCCGGCCCCTGAGCTCCCAGCCGGGGACCCTAGTCCCCAGCCCCTCCCCCGCTGTTCCCCTTCCCCTGCAGCCATTCTGCCGCGCAAGCCGCACTCTGGCCCGCTGCTCCTGCTGGGCAGTGTGGGGAGCGCAGCTGGCTCTGGCCGGATGTCGCAGCTGCGAGCTCCTGCTGCTGGTAAGGGGTGGGGAGCGGTGGGGTTGGGTAAGGGAGTGGGGGGTCCTGGGGGGCAGTCGGGGGGGGGGGGGGGGGGGGGGGGGGGGGGTTCGGGGGGGGTGATCAAAGGATGGGGAACAGGGAGGGTTGGGAGTGGGCGTCCCAGGGAACCTGTCAGGGGGCGGGGATGTGGATAGAGGTTGGGAGGGCAGTCAGGGGACAGGGAGCAGGGGGGTTGGATGGGTTGGGAGTTCTGAGGGGGGCAGTCAGGGGGCAGAAAGTGATAGGGGGCAGGGGCCAGGCTGTTTGGGGAGGCACAGCCTTCCCTACCGGGCCCTCCATACAGTTGCGCAACCCCGATGTGGCCCTTGGGCCAAAAAGTTTGCCCACTTACAACCTCTGCTACCTTTACTTCTCTCCTCTCTCCTTTTTCTAGTCATACCAAGCTATTCTTGGATTGGTATTGAGGAAAAGCAATGGTAAAGATGGCAAACTACCTAGAGTTATCTGGATCCCTCCATTTGATCAGAGAGATTTTTGGTCCCCCAGACCAAACATTTCAAGATCACTTGAAATTCAGTGATCACAAGGAGGGTTTTGCAGAAGCCCAGCACTGAAACGAGAAAGAGATCCTCACTGTGAGGCAAGGGGGTCACTTTATAGCTAGCTTGATATTACTAGTTTGAAGGCTAAATGATTTCTCTAACTATTGTGACCCAAGAACAGCCTGGATGGGGGCGGGGGAGTAATTAATAGGACAGGAAATAGAACTCACTGCCAATGTGTCAGAGGGGAGTGTGTGAATGAAGGGGTGTGAGTATGAGAGAGGGGGTGAGGGAGGCTGGCTGTCAAGAGCAATCTTGCCATCTCACTCCCTCTTTGATGCTCCCTGCAGTAATCCTAAAACATGTTAATCTTATCCTGTGTCAGAGAGTAGCCTGGGAAAGGGATGTTTCAAAGGCCCTTGCCTTTAAGAGGACTGGATATAGGAATTTTCTGGTTTCTCCTGGGAAAAAGCAGATCATTAAGAAAGGCTAGTTACACAATTAAAGTTGAATTATGAATCCCAGAGGGGGCTGGAATACAATGCATTCTTAAAAGTACCTAGCACCTTCTTGTTTAAGTAGTAATGCATGTTTGCACATGCAACACCTCCAGCTCTGTGAGCTGGAACACTGCTATTTGCACATGAAGTTTGGAGGCTCCCTCCAATACAGTAATAGAAGGTGGGGTTTTCATATTTGGGAGGGAGCTATGCATTTTGATTTAAAATACCATGGTAACCAGTGGCAATTTTGGTGCAAGTATTTTTGTTTGTAATTGGTTAAAATAAAGCATGTGGTTTTATCAAGAGCCAGTATTAAAAGGCTAGTAATCCAAATACCTGGCCTGTTTGCAGGAACTGAGAGCTAATTAGCTTTATTCTAGAATAGAGGGTAGGAGGGGGGATTCCTTTGGATGAGGAAAAATCTTTTCTTACAAAGGGAGCTGAAGAGAACATTCAGAAAGGCATCCCCCTACCTCCTAGAGAAGCTCAGTTATTGCTAGAGGTAACAGACATAGATAAAAGATGATCTGCTATAAGAAAATGAGAATGGCCATACTGGGTCAGACCAACGGTTCATCTAGCCCAGCATCCTGTCTTCTGGCAGTGGCCAATGCCAGGTGCTTCAAAAGGAATGAACAGAACAGGGCAATCATCAAGTGATCCATCCCGTCATCCACTCCCAGCATCTGGCAGTCTGAGGCTTAGGGACACCCAGACCATAGGGTTGCATCCTTGACCATCTTGGCTAATAGTCATTGATGGACCTATCCTCCATGAATTTATCTAATTCTTTTTTAAATCCAGTTATAGTTTTGGCCTTCACAACATCCCCTAGCAACAAGTTCCACAGGTTGACTGTACGTAGTGTGGAGAAGTACTTCCTTTTGTGTGTTTTAAACTTGTTGCCTGATAATTTCATTGGGTGACCCCCCCTGGTTCTTGTGTCATGAAAAGAAGTAAATAACACTTCCTATTATTCACTTTCTCCACACCAGTCATGATTTTATAGACCTCTATCATATCACCCCATAGTCGTCTCTTTTCCAAGCTGAACAGTCCCAGTTTTTTTACTCTCTCCTCATACAGAAGCTGTTCATTTTTTGTTGGCTTTCTCTGTATCTTTTCCATTTCTAATATATCTTTTTTGAGATGGGGTCACCAGACTTGCATACAGTATTGTGTGGGCATACCATGGATTTATATAGAGGCATTATGATATTTACTATCTTCTCATCTATCCCTTTCCTAATGGTTCCTAACATTGCTAGCTTTTTTGACTGCTGCTGCACATTGAGCGGATGTTTTTAGAGAACTATCCATAATCACTCCAAGATCCCTTTCTTGAGTGCTAATAGCTAATTAACTCCCCATCACTTTGTATGTACAGTTGAGATTATTTTCCAATATGCATAATTTTGTATTTATCAATGGTGAATTTCATCTGCCATTTTGTTGCCCAGTCACATAGTGTTGTGAGATCCCTTTGTAACTCTTCGCAGTCTGCTTTGGACTTTACTATCTTGAGT